ATACACCAAGACAGACATTGTACAAGAAACATATAAAGTTATTAACATATAAACATCATAATAGACGCAATACAAGAAACAATAACACTGTTAGTAACATCAACACATGCATAACACAATGATACAATACATAACATGTCATAACGACCCAAGCAAGGATCGAACTCGCGCCCAGCTCGCTAGCAATGGTTCGCAGTGCAGCGCGGTTACCAACTGAGCTAAGTCGGTAACGATGACAGCGGCGTCTTTTTACCTATTATTGAAGTAATGGTGACTGACAAACAACGACGAGTAGACGTAGCATATTTGTATCGCTTTCAAGTTTGCATGCTTGTGATCAATATAGATGGGTTTCATGTATTTATTGAAATATGTGAAAGTTTTTTTTAACCTAAGTACTGCCGCGGTCGTTTAACAGTCGTGTATTGTATTTGGGTCAACGCGAGGGTCAGAGAGGTCATAGTGCGGTACATCCTGATTACCTAAATGATTAAAAAGTACGTTAGTCAGATGAGTAACTTCTTTAAATTGTACTTTCCCTGCATATTACTAATAAAGAGGCGTGTGCATATGTCTGATATTGTTACAATTTATATAATTAAAGTAAACGTGCGATGTTAAACGATATATGGCTCATTGCAGTGAAACATAAAATATGCTGTCGCCAATTTTTACGGTTTGATAGAAGCATTATGATGGCATAGATAAGCATATAAGATATCATGACCTGTCAAAGTAGAAACCATGTAGTTCTAAGGGTGATTGGTAGTTTATTAAAACCACCTAGTCCTGTTCATCTCGCCCTAGTCTTGAATTAGACGTCAGATGGCACGTGTCATTATTCACGTCCGCTATTTATTTCTGTCACCAAACTCTGTAACATACGTTTACTTACCGTTCTTCCATATGGTCATGTTGATGTGTCTTTAAGTATTTAGTCAAGGATAAATATCAAGAATTAGGTTTTGGATGAAAATGTATCCACCTAACAGTACGTTGCTTCATCACGAAACATCTAACTGTTTTGTGAGTAGCTATTACCTTGTGTATGGCATAAGAACAGCTTGTTTCAAGTTGGTTGGTACATTTTGTGGTGGTGCCCATATATGCCTAAGGCCTTTGATCGCGTAAACCACTGGACACTGTTTAGAAAGTTGATCGACAGAAATGTTCCGCTATATCTAGTTCGATTCTTGGTTTCCTGGTATACGAATCAAAGAATGTTTGTGAGATGGGGTACAGTCCTTTCCCCCAGCTTCTCCGTTACTAACGGAGTGCGACAGGGTAGTTTACTGTCCCCATATCTTTTTAATGTATACATAGATGATTTGAGTGTAAGCTTAAACAATGCCAAGGTGGGCTGTTATGTAGGTGGGTCCATCACCAACCACCTGTTTTATGCCGACGACTTATGTCTGATTTGCCCTAGCATTAAATCTCTACAGAGATTGGTTGGGATTTGTGAAGTGGTTGGCCATGGTAAGGACATATTGTTTAATACTAATAAGACTTTCTGTATGTATTTCCCATGTACTCGTTTGCCACTTCAGCTTCCATTGCCACCTGTAAGTCTATACGGTACCAACCTGAAGTACGTAAACTCATTTGTCTATTTGGGTATACACCTAAATACCACATTAAGTGACGATGATTGTGTACTCGCTATGCTGAAGAGTCTTTATAGTCGTGCAAACAGTATCAACCGCAAATTTTTCTGTTGCTCTCCATCTGTTAAGAGACACCTGTTTATGACGTATTGCGCCCAGCTATATGGCGCCCAGTTATGGAGCTCTGTAAGCTCTGGTGTTTTGTATAAGTGCAGAGTGGCTTATAATAATTGTTTAGAATCATAATGAATCTGCCTCGGCGTTGCAGCGCGAGTGAAATGTTGTCTGTAACTATATTAGACACTTTTTGAAACCAGGAGGAGGAGAATTTGTTATTCTTTTCTAAAAAGGTTATTTTCCTCCAATAACGCAACAATCTGTCGCTTAATTCATTCCGATGCCTTCTACAGGAATTCATTCTTTCGGAAGACCTACCATTTGTTATGCTTTTAGGTTTCCTCCTGTTTTACTTGTATGTCTGTAGTGTTTTTTTGTATTATTTTAATGGTGTATTGTACATGTCATATGGTTTTTTTTACCTGAAATAAAGAAGAAAGAAAGAAGAAAGAAAGAAGATAGATTTACCAATATGTAATATGTAACATTGATGCGATTTTATGTGCAGCAAATAAAAACAAAAACACTGTTAACATTAAAACATTTTGTTTATCATTATATTAACATGAATTTTTATTAGACATGTTGTTTGTTATTATACCAACATGACTTTATTATTTTGCTACAAAATGCGCATGCGATCTCCAATAGGGCTACAGAGAAGCTAGTAGAATGTTTGGAAGTTCAGAGTAAAAGTTCAGAGTGACATTGGTCATGAATAATATTGTGTGTAGAAACCGCCTCAAATGCTTTTTCTTTAGGTGATAGTGTGGTTACATATTGTTACATTCATTCTGTGAAAAGGAAGACTGTGACATTTGTATCACTTTTGTCGACAACATTGATCTTACATTACCACCTTTCTAACTACCACCTTTCAGGGATAACTATCCAGTATGAAAAGAAAAGCTCAGAGCTGTGTGAAGCACTTACTTAATACGCAAACGTCTGACAAATGGCTGAGTGGAAGATCATTCTAGTATTACCCAAAGCTACACATGGAACGTGAAATGTGATCC